GTGGTCTGTTGTGTGGCTGTCACTGTGCCCGGTATGTGCGCGCTTCGGGCCAGAGTGCCCAGATGGGCAAGATGGGACCTGCCCTCGCAGGCGGCCCGCGGACAGGCATCACCCTGCGGCAGAAGCAGAACAGAGAGATTCAGGCCCGGCCCGGGGCTCTGAGGGAGGTGTGGTCTGAACCTTTAGGATGAGCTGAGTTCAGCAAAGGCCAGTGTGGCCAGGTGCGGGCATCCAGGCGGTGGCCCAGGCTCTGGACGTTTGCCTGGAGCCCACAGTCTTTCTGTAAGGGCAGACAGTCTTTTAGCCTCTGGTTTGTCTGTTACAATCCTTCCTCCTCCTCCTCTTCTTTATAGTACTTGAACAGTGTAAAAACCGTGCTTAGCTCAAGGGCCATACAGAGGCAGGCTGCCTGCTGGGTTTGTCCTACAGACCACTGTGTGCAGACCCCTGGCTTAGAAAAAGGAGAATGTATGATTGAATGAGAGGAGAGCAGCCTGTGAAGGTGTCTGCAGCCACACTTAAGGGTTTCCAGCAGGGCTGGTGGTTCTCAAATGGGGTTCCCCAGAGTCCTAAGGTTCCCAGAGGGGCTTTGGGCGACCAGCGGGCATGCCAGAACTCCCTGTCCTTGCTTGAACTAGAACAAACCCGTTTTGGTCTGTCATGTTGGGTTTTCCTGGACAATTGTATTTCCAAAAGAGCCTCTGATTTTTTTTTTTTTTTTGGAAAACCACCAACGTGGGCAGCAAAGTTCCAGGAGTCATACACCTCGTGTAACACGTGTGTCCTGTCTTTGGAAAACGGGGAGAGGAAAAGAGCGAGTGTGAGGTCGTGGGCAAGAGAAAAAGACAGTCTCTCGTCAGGGACCAAACTGTGACGAGGAAGGACCAAACACCGAGGGCAGGGCAGCTGGATGGGGCAGTCTGGGTGGACGATGGCATTTTCCAAAGCCTCAGGGAAGGGCTGAGGACTGGATAGAGACTGGGCCTGCCTCCAGGGCTCGGGGAGTGTGGGGAGGGTGAGGCCCGGGGCACAGAGGGCTTCTGATGGCTTCTCTGAAGCTGTTGCTCTTGATCCAGGGGACAGTAGGGAGCTTTCAATGGTTCTTAAGCCGGGGAGTCATGAAATAAGAGCCCAAGAAAGGGCCCCTGCTTATGCCAGTGAACACGAATGGGAAGGACAGAGTCTAGGGAGAAGTCACAGAACTGTGGAACACCAAAGTCAGGAGGACTTGGTGGTCCCAGGGAACAGGAGGATGGAGACCACTCGAGGAGTTGGCCTCATGAGAGGGAGGAGGGAGGGCCAGGAAGACCAAGAGCTGGAGCCAGGCTGGCATGTCTACCCCTTGGGAAACTGCGGGCAGGGCAGCTTGAGGAGAGCTGGACGACTCAGCAGTGGCCCCGCTGGACTTGGAGAGAGTCCCCCGCATGGGGTGAGGGCATGAATAGGTACCAGACGAGCACGGTCTAGGGAGGGTGTGGGGTCCTGCTGGGCGTGGGGGTGGGACAACTGAGTCAGTGAAGGATGGACAGGAAAGCTTGGGTGAGGTAGGGGGAGGGGCAGACACCATCACTGGGGAACCTAGAAGCACTGGTCATGGCAGTGGGCCCGGTGACTGGAGATGGGAAGATCCCCACTCAGGGCCAGGAGGCGGTGAAGTCAGGTGGGCAGGGGCTGCGTTGGGTGGGGCTGGGGGCACAGAGAAGCGCCTCAACCGGCCTTTGTGGAAGGAGGGGCTGCTGCTGGCAGGGCAGCTGGCTGGGCCAGGGTCGGGTTGGGCTAACCAGGTGTACATCTGGGTTTTTGGGGGGTTTTTTGTTTTTGTTTTTTGAGTTGGAGTCTCACTCTGTCGCCCAGACTGGAGTGCAG